CGTGACCAAAAGGCTTCCATCTGGAGTCAGTGCTATCTCTTTGAGGCTTGTTACAGCTAAATTAAATACTAAGCATCCGTTGGATCTAAATGTTTTTCTTAATAAACTATAAGACCTGAGGCTGCCCCTGAGTGAGCCTTCTCCAGTCCTAATTAATGTGGATGGCATGTGCTGGAAGATTAGACACTCATTACATTGTTAAACGGCCGCTGTGGAGGGAAATGATTCTGTGATAACCACCAAGAGGCAGCGTGTGTGTTCAGACTTCTAACTGCATGTAGTGAGCAGGAAGAGTGATGACAGGAAAATAATACGGTACGGTATTTATCGCGATATTGAATAATAATTTTTTTTTTTTTAAATCAATAAACATTTTTTTTACTCGGAAAATTTTCTTTATTAATAATGAATCTGATTTGTACAGCATTTTAGTAGGATAGCAGTATTTTAAAGTGTCAAAAACAAAGTGACAGTAACAGACTGGATCAAGAAACCAGTGTTTTGTACCTATAGTACTACCAAACAAAGTAGGCATTTTCTTTGTGCCACTGCATCTCACAAATAAACAAGGACATTTAATAATCAGACCCTGCAATCAAATAAATCAAGTTTTACTTTAGTTTTTCAAGTAACTCAACTCAAACTCACTAGGCACTCACTCAGCATCATCAGACAGGTTTTTAGGAATATGAGAATGTCCACATTTCCAGGTATTTAAAACTGGGATGTTTGGGCATTTACAAAATCCCCTGCTCTGGAAAAAACTCTCTCGCTTGGTACTGATGTTGCCGGGACAGCAGTGGTCGCGTTAACCGAATATTTTATTTAACAATGACGGAAAAATCTGAAAGCAGTCCGTCATTTTGACAGATTAGAACAAACTCGGAACAGCGCCAACGTTTCCCCGCAGCGAGGCTCTGGCGTTATGCCGTGTTATGCATGCCCTCCAAAAGGAAATGATATAGTTTCCAAACCGTACTTTGCCGTACAGATCAATACATGTCTGGGAGGTTTTGCTTTACGCTGTGTGCGCTCCCGCGAGGTGCATGCACACACGGCATAACACCACCCCCCCTGTTGAGGTCTACTAGAATAGATTTACATTGTTCAATGTTCCAAAACTCACATTGGTTTCTCATACAGCATCTCTGTATAGTATGTATTCACTCTGTCCTACACGGCTTGTTGGAGCTCCTGCCCCCCCCCTATGAGCCCAGTGTGCTCTGATTGGTCAGCTCGCCCACTCTGTTCTGATGAGTCCACCACCGTTACAGCTGGACATCAGTGATTATGTGTTAAAAAGGCGTTTGTTAGCAACCAGAAAATGACACCAGTAAGGACAAACAGATGAGAATGCTGCGTGGGGTCTGGGTGCCGTGTTGGCGGGACGTTGAGGGGCTCGCTGCTGCGCCCTTTGAGTATCGAGGCAACGAGGCGTTCTGAGGCAGCATAGACAGGTATTTTCTTTGTTTGAGTTTTACTCGCTACAGGGTGTACTTTAAGGGTTTGTGACTCTGCAGACCGTTTACATGCAGAAAAACCTACATAACACACAAGGGGACGGGTGATAACCAGAGAAGCATATGATGGGACCTTTAATAATTAAGTTTCAACTCATTTGAATATTTTTCTCCAACTTCGACTATCGTTTTTAGTGGAGTAGAGCTTTTACGCTCCTCCACCAAGTGTGCAAACGTGTGTCTTACACACATCAAGAAGCACTGATACCTTAATATTAGTGGGGATATAATATCCAGGAGAAAATTGGTTCAAACGAAGCAGCACCTTTGATGGAAACCAGGTCTTTTGATAAAATGGCTATGATAAAGACACTTTCTTTCTGTGTTTGCTATAATCCTTCTCAAATTGAGTTTATAGCATATTAATTCTTCAAACTGATGACAATGTCATTGTTAGCTAAACTGAACTCTAATCTTCTTTTTCTTCACAGTGAGTAATTTCCCTTTGACTACCCGAGTACACAATGTTCATTCTTGTCTTTCAACAAACTGGAGCAGCAGTCAGACCCTAGCTGCTGTCATGTACCTTATAAGAAGGACATAGACATTAGAGTTAATGAGCCATTAACATGCACCCTACTGCAGAGGGCACAAGAAGACCTTTGTCACCCACCCTCTCCAAATATACCCAGGGTGTGTAGAATGTGATGAAGGATAGCAGCTTTACCTTGCCATAGGTCCAGCCCAGTTCGATCTTGTTCATCCCCCCACAGCTCGTGGATGTTTTCTGCCAGCTTGTCCCGGACGTTGTCCAGGTGAGGGGGAAGAACAATCTGCAGAGAGAGGAGGGGAACAGATGGTAAGCTTGGATGGTCAAAAGATGAAATTAGGCCAAAAAATAGAACAAAATAAGTGCCTGACTGTGCCATTGTAAGATTCCTGTGGATTGTAGGAACTTATACATTATTCTAGCTTTGTTTTATCGAGGTATCACGTCTTGGAGAGGTTTCAGGGGCCTCTGCAGAAACTGAATATAATATAACAGGTGTCTAACACTAAGCCTAAATGAACCTGTGTATGAGATTCATGAAACACCTAAAGGTTTTAAAATCAAATAAGATGTTTTATCTTTACAAAAAGTCCTTTAAAAAAGCCTCAGACCAGCAGAAGTGTGGGTAAAATATTTGATGTTGGCTGCAGTTGGTAAATATTTCAACTGTTTTGTGAGAATCAAGGTTAATTCAGTCATCTAGAGTTGTTCTCAAAAACATTAAAAACACTAAAGAATCTCTCTATAATCCAAATAATAAACACAATTTCATGTTCTGTCATCTTCAGACAAACTTAAACAAAATGAAAACGTCCTAACCATGTTTTTAATATGTAAAGTAAAGATGAATGTAAAGAAGGGTACTATTCTCACCTGGCTGGTGTCAACAGGAGTGGGGATGAAGGAGGCCTGAGAGAGGAACTTGGTGGTCCCCAGCAGGTCACGGACCCCGTCATGGTCCCTCTTGTAGTCCTTCACAGGCTCCACATGCATCTCTCTTTGGGCAGCAGCGCCTCGTAGCAGGGGGGAGTAACCAGCGGGCGGCAGGAACTTGAAATCTCCGTGACGTCCACCCAACAGGAACGGACCCTGAGAGGAGAAGTTACAAAACATTGCAGGACATTATCTGATCATATTCTCACTCTTAACTTCACCATGCATCACTCTGTATCTGCATTTTTTTTTTTTTTATAAAAATATATATCCATGGGTATATAAACTATTTTCCATAGAATCTTTGAAATCTAAAATGTTAAACTTAAAATGTATTCAGACCGCCACACACCTTCCATTACATAAACAGGGTATACAGTATGCAGGAATCCTGAAGTCAGATGTAATCCCTTTTAAGACCTTTTTTAAGACCCTTTCCATACATTTTAAGACCTCATCGCCACTTGGAGTTTTAACCGGTTACCTTGGCGACACACTTTACCTCACATTGACTATAGACAGTATTGATTGTCCTTCCTCCTTATCTTCCAACCATTTGGACGCAAATTGCATTTCCCCATAACGATGTTGTTTAACAACCGGCGTAAACGGGCCGTCGCGCGCTATCAAGCAGTGAGCGCGCGATGTCCTGTTCAGATGACGTCAAATCCAACGGGATGCCATAAATAAACTACACAGAATCACACTACACATACGCAATGATTACATTCAGGCAGACTGTAGAATACAACCTCTTTGGACCATTTATATACTTATTGAAAACAACCTACAACATTTAATACCTTGGAAGATGCCGTTTCATACTTTTTAATAGCCTTAATTTTCGCTAAATTGAATGATCAACTTTTAATACTTTTTAAGACCCCGCAAACCTTTTTCCTAAATCTTATTCCAACACATTTGTTCTGTACTTGGTTCTTACAACTAGTAATAATAAAAAGTTTTAAGAAGATTGTGGCTTTTAAGAAAGGTTTTGTGTATTTCTTTTGTTGATCCCTGACAAAAGGCCAACCCAGTAATCTTTCATTTAAAAGTACCTCATTACTTTGCTAAATAGTCATAGTCTGCCATGCTGTAATTAAATCTCGAGTTTAAAAAAACAAGCCCTTCTTTTGGGATTGCTTTGTCATCTCTTCACAGAATTATAAATGCGGAGCCTTACTTGACACCTGCAGAGAAGCTGACGACGGGGAAGAAGAAGCCGTCGGTGTTGAAGTCTTCGAACATGCCCTGGACAGGCTGCCCGTTGATCCTGAAGGACATGCTGGGAGCGCCCAGATCCAGACAGCAGCTCACCACGTCGTCTGAGTTCAGCAGGTGCTGGTTAATGGAGGCCACGGCCCTGGGGATTCGGCCTAGACAACATCAGGCAAAGAAAGAGAGAGAAGATGGATGGATGCATCAGTAGCAAAGTCATTGCGAAAGTAGGGCAGGATGACAGGCGGGGGGGGGGGGGGGGGGGGGGGGAGAGAGTTGAGCAGAGAGGGGGAGAAATGGGGATGAGTGCTTAAAGAGGGTGGAAATGAAAAAGTGATGGGGCTTTTAGTAGATTTGGAATGGTGGGTGAACTGAAGTAGGTGTTACGCTTTTAGGGTGAGAGCAGAGAAGAGAGGTATTCAAGGCTTTGGAGCCCTGAAGCACCGGAAGAGTTATTTTTTGGTATACCTGCATATCTGTGATTTGCTGGTATTCACCTTTGCATCGTGTTTACACAAGTACAACTTAAAGATGTTAGACCTTCCATAAGGACTTTTAAAAGACATGCCAACGCTTGATGTTTTAATTTGATATCACCGTAAGAGCTGTGACTTTGTCCTTTACTTTGTAGAGAATGAAGGAGCAACCAAGAGAGTGGACAGCAGGCTGCTGCATTATTCACAGATAAAGAAATCTGTCGAGGCAAAGTCCTTCCAAATCCACAACAGCTCTTTTTGCACACCAGTTCTTGGTATCATTTGCTGCAATGATTCAAATTGTTTTTGTTTTTCAAAGCAACAGAAAACAGTTTTGGGTATAGTTCAATGTCTCCACGTAGGAAACACTTTAAAACTTAAAACAAAGTTTACATATTTCTTTACAAAAATACTTTCTTTTTGTGTTACCAAAAACTCACTTGAGGAGCTAAACTTGAAAGTGAAGTAAAGACAGTATGTTCACACCTTGCATACTCCAATAAAGTAAAACAACAATACCTTTTAAACGTGGCTGCAGATGAACAGTGAGGTTTCTGTGTCTCTCAATAGGCTTCTATCTCATAACAAACTAGCAGGTGTTGCTGCAGGTCTTATATAATAATAATAGATTTATTTTGTTAGCGCTTTTACAGGTGCTCAAAGACGATTTACAGTTATAATGAAAAGAAAAGAAAGGAATAACAAATAAATATAGTTAAAGTCAAATAATACAAAAACAATCACACATTAAAAGCCAGATTGAAGATAAAGATTAAGATTCAATGTATTGTCATTATGTAGTACAGGTACTATGTAACGAAACGGTTTCTCTGCATTTGACCCATCCTAGTGTTAGGAGCAGTGGGCTGCCATTATGTACGGAGCCCGGGGAGCGGTGCCTTGCTCAGGGACACCTCGGTAGCACTTGGTCTTTCCGGGACTTGAACTGGTGACCTTCCAGTTGCCAAGCCAAGTCCCTATGGACTTCGCCACCACCGCCCTGTGATAAAGATGCCTACCTGACCAGAGATGAAGTCCATCAAAGCTGTAGGAGTACAGGTCGTCTCCAGCACCGTGCCGCCCCACCCCTCTCCTCCCCCGGGGTACGGAGCATAGCCTTTAGTGTTGGCCCAGCCCACTCTCAGGTGGGTCGGCTCTCCGGTTACAAAGTGGTCCACCTGGTCGATCACCAGCTCAAAATACCACTTCTTATACTGAGCTGAACCTTCAGCCACACCCAGGAAGATGTTCGGCCTCATACTGGAGGAGATTAGAGAGAAAGATGAAGAATATAAATCATTGTAGTAGTGAATTATCCCATAAACCCATCACGTGGCGAAGAGAAATGACATCTGATAAAGCCAGCTATCATGACGCCTTGAATGGAAAGTTTGACCGTCACCTCTGAACATCATTGACGAGTCGAGTTTGAAGCAGCAGGTCTCTCTTGGGAAGCAGGTTGTCACAGATCAGATTCTGATTGGCTCTCACTGCAACCCCGTTACAAACACAGAGGGAACAGAGGACATCCAGAATCTAAAAGAGAGGAAAGGTGGAGATAAAACTCAGCCATTTTATTGCTCTCTGTTGTTTCATAAAAGTGTTGCACAACATCTGCACCCTGTTTTTCAGTTTAATGATCAGTCCGATTATTTTGTTGCAATGCTTGTAGCATATGCATATTTTATAAAGAACCCTCAAGTCAACATGACCATGGACTTCTACCTAACACTCGTGAAATGACAGCTGTTGTTTGTTTACAAGGATGCCGTTTCATGCCTGGTAAAATGTACTGTGACATATAAACACTGCATATAAACAGGTAAGAATGTCACTAACGCAAGAACGTTGATAGCAGTCCACATGTCCTTTTTTCTGAGAGTTCTATTTGGTCACCAGGCAGCTTTGTATATCTGTATTTTAAAGCTTGCTCCCTTCTTTCTGGATTAAACGAGGTGTGCAGTTTCATCTTGTGCTTGTCTGTCGTGTTATGAGCTTCACAGACTCATTGTCAGGCTGCTGGCATGGCTATTTTATGTTAAGTCATGTTTCCGCCTACCTTGTAGTTGCGTCCATTCTTATAAAGCAGGGAGATTATAGATTGAATGTGACCTCTCTGAATGATGTTCAGAGCCTCTGGACTTTCCACCAGGATACAGTGGAGGACTTCCAGGATCCCTGAGAGGTCAGACAGGACATGTGTCATTATCAGAGCAAATATAAAGTGTACTGACCACATCTCAGCATCAGTATAATGCTCATAAGGGTTTAGGCTTTTTCCAATTTCAAAATGAATAAAAAGTTTCCCATAATACCTGATGAAGATTCCAGTCTCTCCAGTTTGCTGACCAACCAGTCCAAGTTGCGGGAAAATTGGGTGCAGTTGTTCCTGTTCCCACGGATCAGTGCGGCTAAGCAAAGACAAGTTTGCAGAAGGTTTAATAAAAGTACATATAAGGTTTAGTAAAGACGTTAATCCAATTGATCCAAGCAGCTGACTTGTGGAAAAGTGGATGTTACGACTTTTAATAAAAATGTGTCACAAGACATAGATATTAAAATTCATGAGGTCTGACAAAACTGACACCTCCCATAATGACATCTTCCTGATAGAAAATACATGGGATTTATATTTTGAAGCCTCGTTTGAAGGGAAGTAAGGCGTTCTTTTTTCTACAAAAAGGTTGAGGTGTATTCCCTTGTGCCCTTTCTCTGTCATGGAGGTGACATTAAGGAGTCTCCTTATTACTTTACTGTCACATTTTCCACCATCAGGATTCAGGGACACTAGATAATGCCTGTGAAACTGTTTAACAGCACTTTGTGCCCAAGGAATACTGATGGGGGTCTAATCTCTTATAATTCTTTCTTTTCAGGATAGCTATTGTTCACATGGATAGAGCCACACCATGAGGCACGGGCAGGGATGTTCACTGTGATTATGTGAATGTGAAATTAAAAAAGTCATAGACAGAGAGGAGACCCTGAGGCTACACAGATACAGACTTTGAATAATGGTAACATTAGCATAAACTATATAAAGGGATACAAAAAGCCACCACTAAATTACCATTAATGCAGTAGGATACTTTAGTTATAATAAACTTGGCAACATTTCAATGAAGAGAATCGTAATTGTGAAAGAGTTTGTGCTTTGAATCCATGATCAACAGTCCCATCTCATTAAGATCTTCTATCACGTTTTGCAGTATCCTCGATGATTTGTGTTAGTGTGCGGGAATCTTAAGCTACGAGATGAAGTATTTTCATTATCTGCTATTCATTCATTATACATAGCTACACAATGTACTTTAATGCATACTTGTATCGTGACACCTGAAAATCTTAGTTTCTCTCCTCCAGTGGATATCGCCTGACCTTGCTGCAGTGACGTAGAGTTCCTCTAAAGCCTCATAATGCACAATGAGATATAGAGGTTGGGATCTCTTAGAAGTACAAGGTACTTTACAAGGACAAATATAGTACCTGCTCATTATGCATCAAAGGTGGTAAGGTTTAATAAAGACCATAATATACTTTTGTATGGGTTTACCTGAAGCAGACAGCAACATCTCATTCATAAGACTTGGCAAAAAACGTAATGAGTTTGTGCTAAAAGTAGTGAAGAGCATATCCTGGCGTGATATACAACCATTCTCTTATTGAAAGAAATCCTTTGTCAAAGTTTACTCAAATAATCAGCATGCATAAAGTATGTGATACAAGAGTCTTCTGGCATGTTTCTTTCTCTCCCACCATTGCTCCTGAAAGCATTTGCAAGATTCTGCTGTGCAAATCCAAACCACCAATCACAGCGGAGGCGTCTCTAACACAGTGTCATTTACTGATTGTGAAATCCAGTGTTTCCCATACATTGATTCATTTGTGGCGCTGAAGTATCGTCCGCCACAAACAGATTCTCACCATTGGTGGTCTAACGCAGTGGTTCCCAACCGGTTGTACCGAGGCACACTGTCCAGTTGTGCCGTAGAATCTTTTTATGTTCCACATTATTTTCTCACTTAATAAACTTCACTTCATATAAACTTTATTTTATTACATGTACAATGGAGCTGATAAGCTAATAAAGCATATATATTGCTCAGATTTAGAAATATTAAATTGAATATAGCCTCAAACTGACTGCTTAAATTCTCAGCCGTCATTGTTTACGGCGTGCAGAGCAGCTTTTTATCCTCGCGCCAAAATATTACAAGAGTAATGAGAGTGAGAGTGCTGGTTTAAACAGCAAAGCTCAGGATGAACTCGCAGAGCTATGGACCGCTCCCTGAAACTGAAGCACGGTGAACTACTTCTGGGTAGAAGTGGTTCTCCTCTCAGAGAGTGCCATCAACGTGCTTTTACAGTTTCAACTTTCCAACCTCCTACTTGTGCGAGCTGGCGGTCACTCGCATTATGTCAAAAGCAAGACCTGCCCCCGGCTGTCAGTGGAGCGTGGCGCTGTCCACTACTCCCCCCCATGTGCCTATGATAGTTTTATTTATTTTTTGCTGTTTAAACTGATTAGTCTGTTATAACTATTATTACGTTATTATTAATTTTAAGTTATCATAGGCCTACCTCTTTTGAAATCCAAATGTAAAATATTAACTCAGAAGGAGAGTTGGAATGAAAATGACATGTATTCTTGTTTTAACACAGCCTACTATTTTCAGCCAAAACAAAAGAGCCTATACTTACTGAAGCCTGTTTATAATATTTCATTCATCATACTAAGAAATGGTGTTGACGTTTTTTGGTCTGGTTCTTGTCATTATATGATGGATTATATGGTTTTTAGGATGACTTATATTTGATTATTTGTTCTATAAAATGTTCTATTAAATTAAATACACATTTGAAAAACAATTGATGGTGTATTTATTGTTTGTAGTTTAAGCTCTGAAGTGTTTTTTAAATCTATGAGAAGTTGGTGTGCCTTGGGGTCGAGAAATATTTTCAGGTGTGCCTTGGTAAGAAAAAGGTTGGGAACCCCTGGTCTAATGGATAGTGAGGTGGGCTGATGATCGGACGGTTGCGGGTTCAAATCCCACCTGTAACACCACCACGCCCTTGAGTAAGGCACTTAGCCCTCAGTTACTCCAGAGAGAATGTCCCTGTAGTTGGTCATTGTAGTTGCTTTGGAATAAGGCATCTGCTGAATTGTAAATTATATTTTCGGGAGAATAAACCCCACAGATCCTCAACTCCGGTGTGTCTCACTCATTAACAACGCAACACAGAGCAACAAGAACGTTGTCTGCTACAGGAGCCATGAACTTGCATGTATTTTTGAGGGGGGGGTTGATGCGTGGGCCACCCGAATAGGTTAAGGGGCCTTTGGCTTTTCTTGCTGGTGGTGCGGTGGCGGTGCCCCCACAAATATAATCAAATTCTGTGGGAAACACTGATATCTTATTTTGGTTAAGATGCTGTTACTGCATTGTCTATTTCTCACCTCTAGAACATTTCCTACTTTGACTAGACTAGTGCTTGGTTTTGGCTCCACTCTTTCCTATGTGGTGCCCTTGCCACAAACTCTTTCATTTTACAAAACAGCAACAGAATTTAGTTTGACAGTTTGATCAGTGTTTAGCAGTGATTGACACCGTGTCAGAGACTCCTCGGCTATTATTGGTTGTTTTCGTTATTCATGCTCAATGGAATCTTGCAAAACAACATGACAGCACTGGAGGGAAAACAGGACTTATTTTTCACAGTTTATCTATCTCATGCACTATTGTCAAGCAGTGGCAGCAAATATGAGTGGAGTTATTTACCAACTATAAATTACCAACTGCTTTTTGACCTGCATTAAAAAGCTGTGTGTGTATTCCTTTAAAGCAGAGTTTCAGAGTTAGAATGGAAAGGAGAAAAAGGTCAGGGAAAACATCATTCATCATGCAAAACCTGCTTCACCAGACTGCCTTCGCATCCTTGGGGGTGACCCCTCCGCAGGAAAGGGCTGGAGAGCACTCAGAGGAGTGTATTTGTGGGTTTTTTAGCGTGTGTGTTTACTGTGTGTGCATGTGAGAGTACATGCTGGGGAGGTGATGAATATAAGGGCAGTCAAGGTGAGCCGAGGGGAAGCAGTTGATGTGAAAGCTCCAAAGACAGCAAAACAAACAATAAAGTTTTCAAAATAAAACTTTCTCAGGGTCAAATCAGGGGATAATGCCAGAACCTCTGAAGGCAGGCATTTTGTTAATGATGCCATCATTTTTTTAAGATATGCAGCTCAACGTTTAATAATGCACCCCCAGACTGATCTCAGAGAACAATGTGACCTAAATGAAAAGCAGCCTAAATGGTCAAAGAAGTATACAAGAGGCATTCTGCTTTGACTTTTCTCTCCATTCCCTTGTCCCAAATAGTTACATATGAATGTCACCAGCTGTGAACTACAGATGTGGCACGGGCAAAAGGAAGTGCGAACACAGGCGTGATAAGAAGTGTGAAGTGTGAAGGGGAAGGGGAGGATTCGGTGAAGACACTAAGGGAAGATTAATACTGCATCTCTGCCCAGGGTCGTCAGCTGTCAGAAGATGTGGATATTTCATGAGATTGATCACTCGGCAGGCTTACCCAGGAGTTCATAGAGGAGGTTGAGGATGTCCTTCCACGCTGTGCCGGCCTTCTCCCCAGCCACCTCTGCAAAGTGGGCAGCGCTGTTGTACAGGTTCATCCGGTCAATGCATTTAGACAGGAGGGACAGCATGCCCTAAAATTAAAGAAATCCAGGAATGAGGGCATGATTCATTTGTGATTCAAATTATTACACACAAAGTATATTCCTATTTGTAAGAAGATGTGGAATACTTTTCCTTAAACTTCACTCAATGGGGTTAACTGAATTTTCCATCAGAATCAAGTTTATTGCCAAGTACATTTACACAAGCAGTGTTTCCGCCAGACCAGGGCTGAGAGGGCGTCCACCCCGAGAGCGGGGGGGGAGGTTGTGTGACGTCACGTGACTTGAATTTTGAATTGAGCCATCCCTTATAGATACTATCTCTTTACCTATTAGTGATGGGAATTCCGGCTCTTTTTAGTGAGCCGGATCATTTGGCTCGGCTCACTAAGAAGGGCCGGCTCTTTCGGCTCCTAAACGGCTCTTCATTTTAACACAGTTTACCACGGAGCCTTAGTTTCGCCTCAGTTTCGCCGCTGCGAGGCTCAGGCGCTCGTACAGTAGTTCCCGCGCGTGCTCCACTAGCACCCTCCGTCAAGGCTCGCCGGCAGTACACTTTTCGTCACAGGAAACATGCTTTGCTGGCAGCGAAAATAATCCCACCAGACTCCTTTGCCCCTCCAACAGAGGGATGTCCTTGTCCTTTTTCCTTTTCGTCATTTCAAACGATAAAAACTCTCAATCTTCTCTCTAATGTTTGGACGCCCTCGGCTCGAGTTCATCGAATAAGGGCGTCAAATGACGGCAAGACGCCCCCCTGGCGGAAACGCTGCATACAAGGAATTTTCTTTGGTGTATGATGGTGGAAACATAAACATAAGAAAATAAGATGCAAGAGAAGGTCAACAATATATAAAATAAAAATATCTAAAAAAACGATGTAGCATAAAAAAAAGAATAAAGACAAGTATGTACACCAGCTTAAATATTCAAAAAGAAACTAAAAAACTAAAAACTTAACACAATGAATATATGAGAATATATAAAAACTGCAGTGTGTTATACTGTTTAGAATCAGAAGCAGAACCGAATCAAGTTTATTGCTATATATGTTTACACATAAATGTCATCTCGATAGATCTGTTGAATACATCATTTAGTTAAATATGTATCATTTGGTTTACCAAGGAGTTATCAGCACAATCAGCATTTTGTTAGAGCTTCTTATTAAGAAGTTGGAGTCTCCACATCTTCCACTCTCACCTCATCTTTGAAGAGGTCTTGGCGTTTGATGAGTGAACGGAGGAGACACTGCTTCTCCTCGTGCTCCAGCTCTGAATCGGGCTGTTTGAAATACTCGATCAGGTCGTTGAGCGTCTGCAGCACCTCTTCAACATATCCCGCAACCGCCTTGGACTCGCCCTCCGCAATGCTGTCCAAAGCCCTGGAGGAAAAACACAGGATGGACGAAAGAACAAGAAATAAGCTGTAAATCTTTAAATAAATCCAGCAAGAATCCACATTGTGTGCCTTTCTTTTGTCGTGTTGTGTGACAGAGATGGAAGGGTTTGTGATGAAGCCATTACTTGATAAAGTTGGCGAAGAGGAATGTGCTGTTGCGGATGATGCGAGCAGCGCGAGACTCCTCATGCTGACAGCGCTGCAGAATGAGCCCGTCGTCCATGTGGCCCTCAGAGTGCAGGCAGGCCTGGGCAAACACACACAGATAAGCATTTCATCCACACAAGAGGACCATCACATTTATAAGGCAATGAAACACCCAGGCATCAGTAAATGTCTTTTCAACTCACATCCTTAATATTTTGTTACTAAAACATGGGTGTTTGAACAGCTGTGAGAAATGGAAAACAAACCAATTACATTTGCATTAAGCATGCAATCAAAATGTAGCTGTCTAGTTCATTCCGCCATCCTTATCTGGGTGACGTTAATGCGACAGACATTTGGTAAATATTTCAATATTCATACTAATTATTTTGAGATTTTGAAAGGCAATGTTAGAAAGCGTGATTAATCACATCCTACTTTCGATGTGGGAAATATGTAAGACTTGTAAAAGATGGATTTGAGACATCTGCAATAATTATTTGATTATTGATAATAGTTATTTAGGCCTTCAAATAGAATTCATTGCCTTTTATAACTTGTTGAGGACCAGCAGGAATGCTATAAAATGTCGGTGTTGAGTTCAAATATCAACAATCTTTTCCAGAATGCTGACTCCCCCTTTAAGTATGTAATGCATGAAGGGAGAGTCTCCTGAAGCAGGTTGCTAATTAAGTAGCATAATTAAGAAGAGGGGTTAGGTTTGGGGGTCTAAAGTGTAGGCTGGCCATCACCTCCTTCAGATCAGGTGCATTGGTCTCCTGCCAAACTGCAGGGACTCCCTGGCATCAGCATGAGGAGGCGTTTGATGTCCCAGCAGGCGCTGCCACCAATGAGCAGCGTTCATGCGCCTCCCTAATCCCCCCATGTCTTGTCCAAAAGCAACAGTTACCTCGGCGCGGCACATTATCACTTTTTAAATGGGTTGCACATCATGGGTGAGTGTGAGGGGAGAGGGGTTATGTCAAGAGTATCCAGGGCAGACAATGACTTTAAATAGAGTAGAAAATAAATATTTGCCCGGGAGTTTAAATAGCCTTACGACCCAGCGGTTTGATAAGGTGTGATTTTCTACTGTGCACACGGTGCTCCGAGGTGCTGCAGGCGAGCTATGGCAGGCATTCAGGATCTCACGGGAAACACATAGGTAGACTGACGCCAAATACCATATATACAGTTATTTGTATCACTATGCAACAGTGCAATAATTGGTTTATAATTATGCACCAGCCACTTTCACTCTATAAGTATGTTCAGCCTGCAATATGTTTCTATACTGCTATTAAACTAAGATTTTTCAGATATTTATACTCGCATTAATACACAACAAACTGATTTACGCTAAATTAAAGTAGCCTAATTTACATAATGACTGAGGGAAATTGGATTGTTTTATCCTATTATTTTGTCTCTGAAATGTTTAACTTATTCATCCTTATATTCTGAAACTAGACGGTGCTTCATTTTGATAGGAACATTTTATCACTAAACAATCCCACTAAAAGTCAATGTAGCATTACTGTGGCGTTATAGCCCAACCCTTGTAAGCGTTGTTGGTTATTCATCAACTATGAGCAGTGAATGTAGATAACTGCACAACAAAGAAAGCTTATTGATAGTAAATATTCAATTGATCAACCGTTAAACAGCGAACTATATGAGCAGGAAAACCCTTTTCTACAGGAATGTGCTTTCATCTTAATAAACACACAGACATATACACCTTTTAAATGAACAGTCCTACATTCAAAATAGTATTTCTTGTAATGGTTGAATGGAAAGTATTTTTCATGGGAATAATTCAGTAAAATACAAGTCCCAGAATGATTCAGTAAATATCTGCACTGTGTAATGTCTGAAAGAAAAGTGTCATCCTGTTTACCCTTCACCTTTGAAATGAACAGTCCTACATTTAAAATAGCAAAGTCTTTTTCATGGGAATAATTCAGTAAAATATAAGATCCAGATTATCTGCGATGTGTAATGTAATGTTTTCCTGTTTACCCTTCTTTTCAGGGGTCCCAGGCGAGATGATTTGGCATCAGGCGCCAGGTAGGACAGCCACAGTCCCGTCGCTACGTGCATGACGAAGCACATAGAGTCTCCGTACTTGATCTCCGGCACCCCCATGCCATCGATGTCTCTCTTTGGGCCCACCTCGCCTTTTTCCTGTACACATTACCAAACACACGCACGTTACACACGGGCATGTAAATGTGACAAATTGAGATATATTGAGATTAGAAGCTCATCACAGAGGCAGGTTGAGAGACAGTGCATTCATTGGCCTGCCAGCAGATTGCTGCTGCGGCATCATTAGCTCTGCTACATTTCCGCTCAGCAGAGATGGAGCAATGCGGCTGATTGAAAATGACAGCAAGTAGCGGGGAACATATTAATGCCAGTGTTCAACATTGAAACCTTTTTTAGGAAGAGTGAAAGGTAGAATAAATGGAGAAATAAGAGAGTTTATATCCATATATATTTTTAAAAGAAGCATGAATCCTCCTTGTTCCAAAATTACCTGCAGGAAAGAGTCATTACTGAGGGCAAATGAAAGACAGCACTCGGGAGGATTCCATATTGAACCTTTTGCAGATAAAAGGATCTCTGCAGGGACACAATGGTCCTCTGTGAAGGTGACTCATGGCATTGAACTGTTTACGTGGCTGTAGCCCTTTCTGCGGGCAGGGAAGATAGTGGCCGACCCCTCCTGCCCTGGACACAAACTGTTCACCCCCCTCCCCTCTGGCAGGAGGCTGCGCTCCATCAGGACCAACACCTCTCGCCAACTGAACAGTTTCTTCCCATCCGCTACCGGCCTCTTAAAACTTACCTTAGCCACCTAAGGTTCATTCACCTTTGAAATGAACAGTCCTACATTTAAAATAGCAAAGTCTTTTTCATTACATGAATGCACACAATGTTCATACTGCTTACTGCACATATTTATTGTTTCATATTTGATATCCTATAATTCATTCATAGCATTCTATTTCCATGTAAATGACTGCTTTATTTTATTGCTATTTAACTATATTTTATTACGGTGTCCTTAAAGATTTCTTGTTTTATATTTTATGTCTGCACCATGACATCAAGTCAAATTCCTCGTATGTGTGAACCTACCTGGCAATAAACCTGATCCTGATTCTACACAGGCTACTAAGGGAGGATTCACACATGAAGACATGTTTTTTATTGTATTGGGATCTACAGTGATCAGCTCTTATTTTGAAAGAATACACAGTTTACCTAATTGCATTGTTAAGCTTTAAAACAAGAGAAGGAATCAAAATCACTTGACCAAAATGGGACAGGAGGAAATAACAACAAAAAGTGAGACTCCTGTTTTTAACTGCTTAATCTAAACAGCATTATAACCACCTCACTGAAAAATCACTAAAACACACATTTGAATTTCAAGTAAACCATCTGCTTCCTTTCACACGTCAGTGAGACTATTTTTAGACCACATTCTATTAAAAGCAGAGAAATGCAAATGCCTCAGAGAGTTCAAAACAGAGAGTGCAATAAATACAAAGTCTGGCTAATTGAGATAAATTAACGAGGAAAAGCAAATCATAGAATGTAAAGAAGGTATTTTGAAATCCCCTAATGCATAAAAGAGCATCTTATTAATGTATTGGGGATGATAGATTCCTCTTAACTCCATAATTGAAAATAGCTGCATCCCAGCCAGTTGCTTTTAGGTCAGTCCACAGCATGAACTTTTACAGTGCTGTCTACTCAGAAGCTGTGAAAAGGTCAATGTACTGTGGCCATGAGCTCATTAAGAGCTTACAGACCCATCTCGGGAGCCTTTGATGAATCAGACAGAGGAGGAGATATTTTTGAGTCCTCTTTTTAATGAGGTTAGTTGACAAAAAACATTTATTTACATCAACACCAGGGCAGCTTTCAGATGGCGTAGCTGCCTGACTCAAAAAGGCACATCAGAGCTATACTTGTGATAAGAGAATGATTCATTATGTCTATATGGGCCACTGACCTTGGAGGGCCTGAAGCAGAAGGAAGTGGCCGTGGTGTCGGACCTCTCCCTGTCCTGCAGGACCAGTCCGGGGTCCTCCGTCATGGCCAGGTAATGACCGGTCGCGAGGTGGCGGAGTCTGAAGGCCTGACCGAAGCGGATGTGGCTGCCGCTCCAGCTGAACACAGAGAACTGGGGTCATGCACTTTGGATACAACACTGGATTGTAGGGCTGTTGTGAAAAGTGTGAAGCTTTTCCATGTCAATTTACCATGTTCAAAGCTAGTATTTCTGCACAGTTACAGATTAGGATAAGGCTATAATATTATAATTAGGGTTATAGTATAGCATTATATGAAAGTAGTATTTGTTATTTGTAGAATTATATTCCAGAGATAGATGCGTCTGACTTGAGTTATCCAAACTATTCCAAGAACTCCAGAGAGTTATAAGGCTTCACCTTAGCTTGTTGAACTTACAAAATCATAAATCCTGACTTTGTGAATTCATGATAAAAGACACCACTGACATGTTTTTATTTACATGTTAACAGGAATAACTTATTCTATATAGCCTAGACCAGGGGTGTCAAACTCAAGGCCCGCAACTTCATTTCATGTGGCCCACAAGAGCATGCAAAGAATACAATACGTTTATTATACGGTTACATGCCACTTTACAGAGGCACGTTGCCCATAAACTACATGTCCCACAATGCATCTTGTTTTGTGACATGCGCACTGAAGAGACTTGCAATTATTTGCCCTAGACTTCTGCTTTCAGACGTAGTTAATTATTAAGTTATTACCCTATCCGATAATAATCCAATGCAGAGGAAATTATGAATTATTATACATTATTTTATATATATTATATATTTATAGTCTTAAAGCCCTTTGAGTGCAACCATAATGTTGATGTGGCCCGGGATGAAATTGAGTTTGACACCCCTGGCCTAGACTGTGTGGTAGATTAAATCACCCAATTAAAATAGTTTGACAACTTTGTAAAAACCAATATGCAAGTGGAATAAACACGTCAATTTAAAAGATAGATAACGTTTATATTTGTTTACTGTCAGTCAAGCTCAAACGTTCTCTATATGGTAAGTGCAAGTGTAGAAAACACTGATAACAAATCCTCTCTAAGCCGAAAAGGAGAACATGTGCCCTAATGGATGCACCTGCACCGTTTCAAAGTGAACACACTGACAGGCAGTCTCAGGGAGAGCGGGCAGGAGATGTGTGTGGAGGGAAAACAGCGTGGGCGGTCAGTTACAGAGAGGAAGGGTGAAGAGGAGTAGATTGAAAGGGATGGTAAACAGAGCCGCACCTTATAAAGGGCTTTGCCAACTAATTAGTAGTGACAGTTCAAAGTAGAGGGAGGTGGGTTTTATTTATACCCCGCAAGAGAAGCTGTGACATTTGCACATAAAGCCGTGATTCTATTTATTCTTCATGAAGGAATCACATCAAATAAGACAATGCATTTCTGAGAGAAATATGTCAGAGCTTTGTGTTATATTCCCAGCTCATTTTCTTCACTGTGTGTATTACCTGATCCTGAGAGGCTCCAGTCTCCAAAGAGAGCGAGCCCTTGATGCTCCCTTCCCCGCTTCATAGTTGACTATCCTGAGAGCACAAAGACATGAGAAGGAGTTTCTATTATTAAGAGGTTTTCAAGGCACACAGGGAATCAAATATTGTGAGAGCTTTCCCTCAGATACACACAGGGAATATACCCGTGATGTTGGTGAAGTCTCACTGCTCAAATATTTGTGTCAGTGTATCTTAAAGTGGACCATGCTATATTTGAAACATATATTGTAGGGCCATACCTATATAAAGTATATAAATATATATATTTTTTCAAAATACCAAACAGATCCTACATTTTAGCCATGCCTCATTTCGCTCCATTTGCTCTTTCCAGCCCTGTTTTTGCAGGGGTTTGATTCTGTGAGCTGCAGCTGACCACGGCCCCCGGCAGGAGAGGGGAGTTGCCAGTTACTTTGGCATTAGGGCAGGGATATCTAGATACTTTCCAAGGTTTGACATAATGAATTGTGCTTCTTTTAAAGCAAGCAACGATGTTTTCAAATCTGTAATCAAAAAGCTCCTCAAAAACGCTATCGAAGCAGTTCCTGCCGTTGCTACGTTAGTTCAAACAGTAACAACGGACTATTTTTCTTAGCGGATGCATGTCAATTTAAATCAATACATACAACTATTTTTTAAATCAATAAAATCATTTTCTAAATCCATAAGAGGATGTTTTTAAGAAATGTAATTCATGCGTCGCCTAGAAGACTCTGACAATCATGTTATCTCGATTTTAATTAACCCTGTGAAGAGTTCCACTCGGTTCTCTTCCATGATTTGGAGACATTGGCGCAACAGCCTCTACAGACAGTGAGCATGTGTGGCTAGCTGTGATTGGACTGATTTTTTTGTTTTGTAGCTTTTTAATCTTATTTATTGATGTGTATCTTGTCATTTTGTATGTGATATGGACCTTGAGTCTGAAATAAAGATTGAATTGAATTGACATTTCTCATTGTTTGTGGTTTATCTTTCTGCGTGATACAAAGACACCATCCTCCTTTTTTGTTATACTGATTCTGGAAGGTAATGCAAAGAGGTCAGCTGTGAAACAACATCCCTTAAGATGGCAGACAATCAAGGATATTAAAGTGCTTTTGTTTCAGGAACGACCCGTGTCTGCTTACTATGCTCAATTCGTGTACATAATTAACCCAGACAAGGACTGAAAAGGGACATGAACTGAATTTACAAACACAAAAAGTAGGATTACATTTTTTTGTATACCTAGAATGAAGGTGTGGAAAGATTGTTCAAACCTAATGGATTTTTTGAAGCTGCATAATAATACCATTGCTTCTTTTCACACCACTGTAAACATTCACTAACTATTTCTACAAGCCTTTTTGTAAACAAGTCGTTTTATTACACAGTTGAGCTCAGTAATTATTGCAGAACAGAGTTGTAGAACAGTTTTATTGATCATACAAAGAAAATACTTTTTCAATTGTTAGTTTGAAATGTTTTACAGTTGATATCGACTAACTGGACTTGTGGATCGACCTAATTGAGTTAAATTAGTGATATCTACCAACCTCTGCTCCTCATCACTCTTGTTTGCTCCAGGGATGGACAAGCTCTCATCATGCCCATGACAAAGACGCATCACATGTCCACCAGTCAAATAACCTAATATTAACAACAAAAACAACATTGTAATACAAAACAGTCAATACTCTTTGATCATGCAGTTATTCTCTTGACCATGTCTGTATGGGCTTTTCCTTATTGCTTACAGGCTCAACGTATCCAGACATGTAATAGACACATAAGTCATACTCCGAAAACAATATCAAAACTATATTTAACTGTCTTATACTGATAGTGCTATTGTTGCTGAGGTGGTGAACTTGCCTACAGCCACGTTGCCTGAAGAGCAGGTGGGCTGGACGTTCCACAGGGTCTGCATGAAGGACGCGTCCACCTGGGCGTGTCCATTGGCGTTAGAGAGGTGCTGCAAGAGAGAAGCGTGTCATTCAGCGCTGATGAGTGGAGAGTGCCGGTAAAGAAGTTGTTTTTATAGCAAGATGGTAACATGGACAAACAGTGCGATTCAGCCATTGTTGTAACTTATTTGATTTAAGGCGGTAAAAACATTTGTTTATTTGCTTCTTGACAGAAGTTAAGGTTAAAATGTTTCACAGGAAATGCTTTTATTTTGAAGTGCAAGTATGTGTCCTGCTCTTGCTTCTTCCTGTTATAATTTTGAGTATTGTCGAGTGCATTTTCTCCGTCTTCCACCGTTCTTGTTGGAAACTGTTAAATGAATATGAAGTAAACATGTTCAGTTTGGACAAGAGTCGCTTGGTTCTTTTACATTACATTACATGTTACTTGTTAGACGCTTTTATCCAAAGCGACTTACATACTCAATACTGTGGACAATCCCCACAGGAGCAATTTGGGGTGAAGTGTCTCAGGGACACAACGACATGCTGACTGCAGTGGGGTTTGAACCTGTGACCCCCTGATCCCAACACCAACGCACTAGCGCCACACGCCTCCGCGTTCTTCGTTCGAAGCTTCTATTACACAACAGCCATACTGCACAAAGCAGGGAGATGTCCCAGTGTGGGGAAAAAAGATGAAAATAACTTTATGCCCTCTCTCCCCTCTGTAGAAGCCAAACCGTGTAATAACGCTGTGGGCTCAAACCACTGCTGCATCAGTGTTTCTCAGATAATACTCTGCAACAACTCCTTCCAGCAGAAACACTTGGAGCCGCTCCCATTTCCCCAGGATTCAGAGGCGAGTGATAGCTCAATAAGATCCTTCAGATTTATCCTCACAAGTGCTGAAGTGTTAATTGGCAAAAACCAAGTGTCATTTAATTCCCCTGAAAATTATTCCATCCATTTTAAATCTGTACAGTATTCCATATATTTCAGTGCAGCCTTCAGTGCACACAAAGGCAGAGGAATACAGGTTGTGTCCCAACCTCCAAGACTATTAACAGTGATGGAGCACTGATTACTTTTGCCTGAATTTCTGATGTATCCCATTCTTCAAAATCGGAGCTTCTGTGAGTAGAAACAGGTGTAGGGGTTTCCATCGGGGGAGATAAAAGTCTGGAGCTTTGCCAGTTTTGATTTAAATTGGACATGTTCCTCCATGAAGGGCCAGTGCTGCTCTCTCCTATGCATGGCACGTCGCTGTCCCTCCTTCTTTCCATTTCCCTCTCTGCCTCTCCTCTCTCTTAAGCGAGTTAATTGAGGTCGGGTGTGAAGCGCTGCATGAGGGAGACAGCATTAACTCTCAGCAGATCACTCAGATGGGTGTATTTCCTGAAAATAAAGCTATATATTGTGCAAAGGAAGCTGCACAAGAAAGCTTTACAGGTATTCCGATTTATATTACAGACAGCAGTGGCAATTTTTTTAAGATTTCCCCTTGAACTGCTGTCCTGCCACTCTGAAGAGGCCTGGAGTGAGACGAGTATCAGAGCTATCCGACGGCTATGAAACTTTCTAAAGTGCCTTTTCGAGACAGACAGTGAACCAAAGAAGATAACTCCAGCTATGTGAGGCGCATCATCTCCAAAAACACAACCACTGTTCTCTACACTAGAAGCAATGTCTGCATTTAAAGTCTTGCAAGTGTAGAGGCAGACAATTCCGTCTGACATCAAAACGCTTGGCAAGGAACTGAGGACACAAACAAAAAAACAACAGCAAAGACAATCTGAACTTTGTGAGATCTGACAAACAAACCAGACAAAAGTCAAATGAGAGCTGATAGAGGCTATATTTGATGCATCCAGAACAACTTTAAATATTCATGAGGCTGAAACCTCTTATCTGGTAATGAGAAATGGAGTAGAGGCCAGCTGATTTAATGAGAATAGCTCGAACTGCAATTAACCCTTCATCTTTAAAAACAGCATCTTCTTTCAAGTGTGGGATGGCGAGTTTAAAACAGATGATTCTGTTGATAAAGGTCAATTATAAGGCTGCATCTTACTAGTGGGAATGCTTTGGTTCATGGCATCTTAATTAAAAAACGGACTGTAATGTCTCATCATCTGAACTGTTTTCACCAATTTGGTTAATTACAAGCTAAAAGTTAAAGGTCACCTATCATGCTATTTTTAGGCAATAGGTCTCAGATATATAACAATATATACAAAACATGTCTATGAAGTGTTTTGCTCCAAATACCAAACAGATCACCCATTCTAGCCATGCCTTATATCCCTCTATTTCACTTCCTGTTTCAAAAGTGCTGATTTTGGGTATAAAGCTTTAAAAAATAAATAAAAAAGGAGGGGTCTGAGCTCATGCGGGACCCGGCAGCTACTGTCTAAACTAAATGCTGCCGTGATGAAACGCCATATCATGGATTATCAAGGATTCTCTCTGAAACAGTTTGGAGCTCAAAGGCTTTCTCTCTTGCCGGTTATACCACAAGGTGAGTTCCTTTTTACTTCCTGCTTCTTCACACACATGCTCTCCAGTACAGGTTAGCTCTGAGTGTTAGCGATGCTAATGTAAACACCGACCATATTACGTCCAAAACAGTCGGGCATTGTTTCTGATAGCAACGTTTCTGATTAGCCCATGGGTCCACATTTCAGATATGACGTCATATCGGACACAAATCTGGATCAGCTCCGTTTTTTTTAGATTTGGATACGGAGGAAAAGAGAGGGTTTTATTTTCTGACGCTGCGTGAGTTCCCCGACACACCGGGGACACATCTTTATGTATAAAAGACATCACAAAGTGCATTTTGCATGATAGGTCCCCTTTAAACACTTCACTGAAGTTTGTGTTGGTATCTATACACTGTGTTGGAAAATACATATTATATTGAAAGCAATTAGTAGTAGAAAAAATCCAGTAGCTGTCTGTTGAATTGACCAAAAACAGCATTAGCAACTTTTTCTGAAATCTTCCATAATTAAATTGCATGTTTTTATTTTGTTAAAGATATTTTTAAGATATGTATGACAACAATTATGGAAGTAAATGATATATTTGAAGTTATTAATTGACAGCAAAATCATCAAACCGAGAAATCAGCTTGAGTGTCTTTGTTGCTTAAAGGTGGGGTAGGTAAGTTTCAGAAACCGGCTCAAGTGCACTAAAATTTGAAAGTACACAGCCGAAAAGAATCCGCCCCTTCCTTCAGACTTCCTTACAGAGCACCTCCTCCAACACACATGAACGCGCACATGACGTCAGCAGACTGGTGAAAGTGGCCGCCTGTTGCTGGCGAGTCATTGAAGTACTGCTGCAATGCACGCCCAATGACGGCACGCCCAATGACGGCACAAGATACATTTGTGCGTGCAGTACTACGGCTTCCACAGATGACATTTTTTTATGGATTTTTTGTCAAAGCACTTCAGATATTCATTGCTATCGGGATGTTGAGAGCATTCCATGGAATATAACAAAAAGTGTATCTCGAGCCGGTTTCTCAAACTTACCTACCCCACCTTTAACCTCTATGGCTCGTTTTTTTAAGCTTTTCATTTTCTCCCCAGTTGCAGGTAAGCGTCAAAAATAAATTGTTGAGATATTGGACCTACCAGGTATCTCTCTGTGGACACGCTGACTAGGATCAGGTCGTCTCCGATGCGGACCTTCTCTCCCTCGGATCTCTGCTTGGACGCAGGGTGGATGGTCCACCAGCAGGCCTCTCCTGTTAGCATAAATATAACAACTTTATTCATATATATATATTTGTTTTCAATTAGACAAGATACATACAATTGAGCATTGTCCAACACATTCATATACTTGTTATTTTAGATGGCTACTCGTTCTCTTTTGTAAAAGCGTCTGTCTTTTCTGACTTGCAAAGAAAAAAAAGCATAAAACAGCCGTCATCTGAGGAACACTGGATCAGCAGCTGAAAGATTGGTTCTGCTGGAAAATGGCTTTAAGAATTCATGTAGTTCAGATTTCAAATGGAGCACTTTAACTTTGTTTTACAGGATTTCTCCCATGGGTTTAAATTCCATCTAGAGGTTACTTGCTGAAATGGCTACGACAGAAATCTATAAAAAAAAAGCAGTAAAAAGAAAATAACTGCAAGTGGACTGTGTAAAGTGCCTGTTAGTCATACTGTACCTATCGAATCTTCTTGTAAGCCGACATCAAATGACAGCTTGTCTGTCAGAGACCTCGATGTTTTCAAACAGGTCAGGTACTAAGGAGTGAGAAATCAGTTAGTGTTAGGTCAAAGGACACTTTATTACGAGCCCAGATTGGTAGACAGCTTTTTCTATGCCTTAAATTATTTCTTTTTTTATCAAAAGTAAATAGTTTAGGACTTAAAACCCATTATCAGACTTAGCTGAAGAGGTGGTTATGTAGACAATCAACTTCACAAACTCAAATGTGTGCAGAAATGTAAAAAGCAAGCTCACAGTAGTCTAGTGATCATGTTTTTAAAAAAAATCAGGCTAAACAGCTTTTTCAAGAATTGGAATATTCACGAAAATGGAAATGTACCACGATCAGCCTATCATGACTGTTTTTTTTAATTGCAATTCACGATAATGTCGCTAGTCGTAAGTATAAATGAACTGTAGATTACATATTTGTGTATTTCTTACTTCAGCAGGCGTCATAGCATTTGTTTTCAGTAACCCTTGTGTTAAATTGTGTTTTTGATACTTACCATATCACTGAAGGAGTGGCGAAGTAGGATGGCATGACCGTAGAGCAAGGTCCGGTGTCCACCCCCCTGACCCGCCTGCAGGAAATACACAGGAAATAGATTATTCTCTTATTCTAGCATCCTTCTCCACTGGACCCTATCAGGTTTGACTTATCACATCTTTAGTCCACGTTAGTAACCCCATTTCACCTGTACGTCAGATATCAAGTTACAGTAAGAGTTTCCTCCTGTAAGCTGCAGTTAAAAAAAGTATCTTCCACTTTGGACATTCATACCAAGAGCAAGCAGGAAACAGACAAAGAGGGAGGAAAACACACAAACAATCAAACACGAACAGTGCCGCACTCATCAGACAGCTTGCCCATTCTTGTGACAAACAAGAATAATTGTGATGAATTGTGTCACAATAGAAAGTAAATGTTGGGTTAATAAAAAGAAAAGATTTGTTTTCTCCACGTCAGGAGATAAAAAAGAAAATTCTACTTACCCTTTTAATCAACTTCTAGCAGCAGGAGAAAAAAGAGGTACCATAAGCAGTGAGATCCAAATAATCTCTGTATCAAAAATTCTTATAAAAAGAATGTATGGACATTTAGTGTCCAAGTCCCAGACCTAAATGTTGTCATTATCACATTGGGTATAAGGGGTTATAAACAACCCTTCTATTCTCACAAACTATATATTAAGTTGGCCATTATTATACTTTGTGTTTCTTTTTTCTACAAAGAATTTTTATTGTCGAGTTATTGAGTCTTTATAAACTTCGTTATGGAGATATTAAAGAACTCATATTTGGAGAAGAGATTTCGGCCATATGGCCCGGCCCTAACTTAGTGGGTCTATTCAAATAGATTTGACTGTCATTTTATTTGACAAACAATATTTAAACTTCTCACAGAAACAGCTAGGATAGAGCCAACTAATGTGCCGCCCACTGACGTTTATCCAGTGCAATACATGCAGGCTATCCTGTGTCTTTTCCAGTTGTCAGTGTTAGTTTGTGTGTTTGCCTGCGGGGTCACATTTAGTGTGACCTAAAGGGAACTCCCAACTGTCTTCTAAATTTGACACCAAAATGAATCTCTTTTGGCAACCAAGCCTCTCCCAGATGGCTTATATAAGACATACAAAAATGGAAAAATAATTTGATCAAAAGAAAAATGGGAAGATTATCCGGCAACAGCTGGGAGCGAGGGAGCAAGAGAGAGAGCGAGAGAGAGAGAGAGAGAGAGAGAGAGAGAGAGAGAGAGAGAGAGAGAGAGAGAGAGAGAGAGAGAGAGAGAGAGAGAGAGAGAGAGAGAGACGGCCTGTATTTCAGGCCTGGTGTCATGCTGACACATCAATGTCAGGAACTGTGACCTTTGCTTTGGTGCCCCTCCAGTTAGTGCTGTATCCTAAACAGCTTGGAGAGCAGTAGAGAAACAAACAAAAACAGAAAGGTTTGTGTTGATTTTGTGTGCGCATTAAGGGGAGGAGTGGGTATGTTAAGTAAATTGTGTCTTCAATTATTATGGAAAGGTTTGGTACTGTAAATGTAATTGGCTTACAGGTCTAACATGTGTGAAGTCATGCGGACAGTGCCAGTCATTATATGCATCCTATGTGTCATGACAGACTGCTCAATGGCAACACGTTAAGCACATACTGACCTAACAAGTATTTGCATAGGATACTGGTAAAGTTAAAGAAATAACATGTACAATTTAGCTTTAATAGGCCTTATTAGTTGTGAACAGTTGTGCATGGCTTTGCTTGTAGGCGGAGCCCCAGTCATTGGCATTAAACTGTGCTATGTGGAGAAAACTTCGCCACCAGAAGACAGGTAACTGTAAACATCTTAGCAACAGTAAATGAGAATGTAATGACTTGTAACGACTGTCCCCATAACTGCCAAACCAAAAATAGGTATAACAGTCTAATAATCTTTCTGTTCACTTCCAATATATTCAAGGAAGCTAGAAACATACTAGGAGCCTTAAACAACCAAACGCTCTTTAAGACCCTTTTCATTTCAAGGCTGTTAAATGAAGCTAGCTTAGCAGACAACTGGTGTAACATAGCCAACGTCCAGGCATGATAGTAGCCTACTAAGCAAGTTATCAGTTAGGCTAAGTGACCAATGACATTACTATATGCGCCATTTGTTGATACATCCATGGCTGGAGCTTACCTACAAGTCGTTTTAATTGTTCACGCCTGCTATTACCGTTAACTTTTCCTAACTACACTTCACTCACCAAAGTTACGTTAGCGGTTCTGTTGGACCTCATCACGTAAAAACGTCGTCACCTGATTTGAGATGTACCTGTCGCGGTTGACGATGCATTCAAGTTGTATCGGAATAATCGGGAAATTGTAGACAAAGAGGCGGAACAACATAAAAAGTATATCTGCAGTCCCACACACTTTTGGCATTAAAGTACTAGTATTTAACCATGACATTTTCCTTAACAAAGAAGTTTGCCACCTACGCTTTGAGGCCGTAACATGTGTGTTGATATCATTTAGTAATGTTAGCGCCTGAAGATAAACTAACTTTTTGGCACGAATGAAGACTAAACGTTGGGTTAATAGTAAGAAACATTTACTTTTTAATTCTGTACTATTGCATAATTATGCTTTTTTTGCTCAAATGTAATAGATGGGTCTATGTCAGGATGTTACCACTACTGTCCATCAGTAGCCTTCAGTGATTCTAGATCAGGTGGAAACGTTTGTTATCAAATAGCCTACATACAGTGGATAAGAGTATGAAGTAGAAAAACACATTTTGTTGTTGTCGTTTTTAACTCGATAAATATCTTTGGGTTATAGTCAATTGTAGCAAAACTACCATTGATTTATTTTCGGGTTATTCATTTAGAAACGGTGTTATGGGCCGGTGTAAAATTAAAACATATGGATGATTTTGCTGGCTGTGTATTAATACCTGATATTGAGCCAATATCCTGAACACTGCCTGCTTGGTGTTATAATAATAAAACAGAGTGTGTGCTTTCTCGTAGCTTAAGCCTTACACAGCCATTATACTATAGCATGGCTAAGTAATTAACTTAAATGTTCACTTCATATAAATCGCTTGTCTTATAGGGAACAGCCTGAGGATGGGAAATAGCACACTAATCACTTTTTCAATGCTGTCAAGAAGGGATTAATGCCAAACTCATTTGCTAAGTACCATCTGATATATCGATTCTAATGTGCATAGGCACTATATCCTTCAAACTATTTGGATAATGAGAGAGTAATTGTGCTTCATTTGCTTTATTATTTACTTTATACCAGTCCATCAAAAACATGATGTACACTGTGATGTGTATTATGGGAAAGTTAAGAGAAGAAAAACACAAGTTGAGGATGTAAAGAAAAATAGATAAAAACTGAAGTGCGACTTGAATATACCTTGAATTATCTATAAACAGCTTTGCTCAAAAAAAGTTAAACAATCAGGACATGAACTTGTTTAAAATCCCTTAATATTAATTGATGTTAGAGAACAAACCCAGAGAAAACAGAGCAGCACACCAAAACCACAAAAGTGAGTTTTTTCTGCCAACGTGTGGGTTTTCAGATCCTTCAATTATAAATTCAGTACATTTGATAAATAAGGGAGCTCACCACTACTTTTGGTAAGCAACATATGCATGTATCTTTTAACAGCACACATTCTGTAAGCTGCATACTAAAACTTGAATCTTATTGCATTGGAAGCAAAAAAATAATAAGGATGAATAGCTTAAGCAAATGAAATGCCAGCACTTTCAGTTTAAAGTGCTTACACACTTTACACAGAGCAGTCTTCAGAGACCAGGCAACACATTTGACTCCTGTGTACAACGTGAGAGCACCAACGGATGTCTATTTCAAGATTGCCATCATTTTAAGTTTGGAGACATCTGTGACGAGCTAATTGATTGTGTCTCGCACTCTGGCCCAGAAGTTATGCTAAAGAAAAAACTTAATTTACAATCCAGAAGAAGTACACAGAAATTAATGTGTTCTTCACAATATGTGCTGAGGTGGAAAAAATGAAATGTACCACCATTAGCTTAATATCTCCTAACACTGCAGTACCTGCCACCGCAGTTTAAACTAAATGCTGTTCCAGCTATAAATGAAGATTTTATGGCAATCGAGAAATGGTCGTCACTTTAAATGAAAGTGCTGGAAATTCAACCCTTTCGTTTGGCAGTCTGTCATGCACGTTGACAACGTGACGGATGAACAAACTGATGGACCTACCCATTTTTCATGGTCAGCACTCTAGTAACAAAAAAATACAAATGAAAATAACTTGTTATCGGGTTGCATGGCAGTCAATTACGCAAATGTGAGAGCAACAATGGAGAGAAATGGGCCGTTGCAGTGGAAAGGATAGAGGATGCTGATTTATTAGCTTTGCCAGCAGATGTTGTATTCTGGCCAACATCATGTTGTCTTGCCAAACAAGGCCAGCCAACAATGTTGCATTGTTGAGCACAAAACAAATCTGCTACCCGGGCTAATAACAACGCAGGCCTGATTCACCAGTAGGGACGACCCAAGCGGTATACACAAAATAAGACACTTAAAGAACCATTTGTGCCAGAAAGCTACATGAAGAGCGAGTGGTAGCATGCAGCACCATTTTGGCTAGCTTGCATTCATATTTAGGATTTGGTACTTAATCTTCAAAATATCATGTTGTGTTGTGCTCAGGTTTCTCTGATTGCTGCAGCTGTCTGGCACAATGACAGTGTTGTCATCTCTGTTCCTAGTTAGTAGCAAAACATATTAAATAGACCCATCAATTTAGGAACTTCCCAAAAGATACACACTTTGTTATCAATAGGGAAAAAAAGATCACTATGTCGTGGTTTGTTGTTCCAAATTAAATGCTGGGATGTAAATTAAAATATAGCACTGTTTTCTCTTTGCTTTTCCCAAAACATTAGCATTTCATCCAAACGTGTGATGCCATCCCTTCCCATGTCTTTACCCCTCCTCTGGATCGAGAATGGCTGGGTGATGAGATTAAACGACACGTGAAATGACTTTGTTGGAGCGCAGCATCATGAAAGAATATGAACATACGACAGGGGTTAACAGACTGAATGTAGACCAGTGCAGTGCTTCATTGCCCGTCGATGAAAACTCCATGGCACTACAGAGCCCGATCAAAGATTACTTACCGTTTCTAATAAACATGCCAAGTGAGATGGAGTGGAGCCGGAGGACTGTTAAGCATAAATCAAGAGGAGAAAGGAGGCTGTGGATGCAGAAGTGCACTCACAGATCATTTCCCTCCTTTCTTTGACCCCTGACGGCCTTTCATTATCATTGCCTTCTGAACTCTTTTTGCAAAACAGGAGAATGTTACAGAGAATGAAAAGAGACAGTTTCTATTTAGAATTCAATATCAGTTCTTGGTGTTGAAGTAGTTCAGAGTATTGCTAGATTGGGTCCGTCTGCTTTGCCTTTGGGATTTAATCCAATCAACCATCAAAGTAAAATGCCCGAAAAGTAGTAACATTTAGTCATAAATAATCACACTGTCATATTTTATACAAACATCTTTGCCTGTCTAAACATGTTCTCACACATCTGATCATCAGCATCTGATGTAACATTTTCATTAGGTGCTTTTCTCACTATGGGAAAGTAGGTAATCAGATACGGCCAAACCTGAAATCCTGAAAACCTGACAGCATTTGAATGCATCATTTTGGGGACAATAGAAAAACAACCATGGCTAGACTTGGTTGTGATAAAGTGGCTTCAAAAGGTCTCTGAAGTATTTCCAATCAGGCCAGTTTACAGTATTAGAACTGTGACCACTATGAACAGATGTGGTGCATTTGTATTTCCAGTACTGTGACGCTTTAACAGGCAGTGGATTTCTTTTCAAGTTTACACAATAAATATCCTATTATGTCAACTGGAAAACAGTTGTGTAGATAATTATTCGTTTACACTCACTCAGACCACAGTGCATATGAAAATCAGAAATACATTATGAGACTTGCTCACTGAAACCTAAAAAAATAACTCACAGGTATTTTCGACCAGGTGCTAATGATAGACTACAGATTGATTTGTATACGTGTTTGTGTATGTAAGTGTACAGTGTGTTGTGTAAGATATAGTAGATATCAGACGGAGGGATGGTAGTACTCACCCCTTCACTGTTCGACCCAGTCTTAGCCAGCATCTCCTGCAGAGCCCGCACCGACAGGGACTGCTCCAACACAAAGTTACACACACACAGGTCTGGAGGAACATACTGCGGGGGGGGGGGAGGAAGAAAGGAGAGAGGGGGAGGGAAGGAAACATTAGTTGAAGAGGCATTGACGGTGGCAGTGTTTTCATAAGAAACAGACTCCTCTCCTGGATACATAATCAATGTGCCAGGAGTTTCTATTCTCCAGACTGTTTGTTTTCTCTGTATAGCCTCAAGCATTTGTTCCTGCAACCAACATTCCTGATCCTCAGAGCTCCGATGTATTGACATGACATACATAACACGAAACTTGAGGCAAACTTGATATGCTTTTCAAATGTTAAAGAACTCTCGCATCATTTTAGAAATGTATCAATTCATTTGTAATGCTTATTGACACTGTAAAAGTCGTCACACATGGTATCAATTTAGTTTGATGGACTGTAACGTGCAGGCTGTGACTTAAATAAAAATGCAGTGACAATCTAAAGAGGCTCTAAACAGATGCTTGTCATGAAACGTCAAATTGATTTATATTCAAACAGTTTTGGAAACTTATTTTAGACAACAACGGACAAATATTTAGAGTCTAACATTGCCTTCAATTTAATTTTGGTGCCTATAGACATGTTTCTACCTTGTATAGCTCATGTATGCTGGGATCTGTCTGCAAATGTCACTTTCATTCTGGTCAAAGTAATGCTAGATATACAAATTCTTATTCATTTGTTTCTATTAATCTTCATGCATCTTAAAGAAATTCAACTCTATTGATCTGATAACATTAATTAAACACATGCACACATACAGTACAGTGTACACGTGTCAATTGTTACCTACATCCTGTGACTGGGGATTATGAGGAGGGATGTCAAAAGGTGTACAGCATGCAGGTGCAATGACCAATTATTATGTAGGCTAGCGTTTATTCCTCAGCACACTGTGTTTTGTTTCATGCTTTAGATTTATCTTCATCATCCTATTTAGTTTATAAACTTTACATGCTGCCAGAAAAGTTCAGTCAAAGTGCAAATTGCAAAAACAAGGCAATTGAAGAATGGAAATGGAGCATTGAGATTACATAAAATATGTAAATATCACTTGAATCTACTCAAAGTATGAAAACTGTATTTACCTTGTGATGTGCTAGATGGCACTGTTGATTCACATTATACTGACATGACATGTAATCAGTTCCTATCCCTACTCTCATTTGCTTCTATATTACTATTTGTATTGATTACACTAATCTTTCACAACAATAGCCAGCTTTACGCAACATGCTATCCATCTGTCCCCAACACAGAAGTGATTTAAAGGTGTTTGGCACTTGTCCTGACTCAGTATTACACCCGGCTGACCCCTGACCTCTGCAGTGAAGTGAGAAATGTGAGCAGAGGGGAGGGCTGCTGGGTGATAATGAGGATGGCACTGCTCTGTAACTCAACGCAAACATGCATGGAACCTCCAACATCGCTTTGCAGTGTCCAGATCTGTGAGCCGGCACTGCACACACATGTTTTCTACTCAGATAATCATCATTTAATTACATTTACAACCACAAAAGAGGTTTCCAATGTCAACAAATCTAAGACAAAGTGTAGAAAAATACATTTTTCATAGGCAATATCTAGTCATCTCTCCACAAAACTTGAAACTGGGTTATTTGCTAAATGTTATTTTGCAAGAAGCTGCATCATGACATGACACACCTGTGGTGTCATAAGAGCTTTCACAGTGATAACTCGCAACCCGCTACAGATCTGACACGCTTATGAATTATTCACCGCCCGCCAATACCCCAATTATCATACTTCTTCCTGATGGGCAGACACGCTGAACATTCTCGCTTGTCTGGGAACAGAAGAGTCTCAACGGTCACAGCGACCTTTACAGAGACTACAGGGAGCTTAAGACAATAATATCAGCCGTGAAAATGGGTTAGGGTTAAGTGATCCTTCAGAAGATCAAGCGGTATTTAATAATCCCGAGTCTTGCATCATGTGAGCTAGTGAAAAGAGATTACTAGTGTTGAAAATCCCATTAACCTCTTCTTGTTCCCAAACTAAAGCATGCAATATAAAATAAGCCCTTTTTTTTTACGTTAGAGTTAAAGGATATAATTATGATCCTTTGGGTTATTTCATGAAATGTATTGACATTAGACACCTCAAAAGTTCAAAAGCAGAACAATTATAATCTGCGCAAAAACAATATCCTTCCTCACACTTCATGCTAGGACACCACTTATTCATATGTGTTATAGCATACACTGGCATTAATGTGAACTTCCTAGGTTTAAGGAAGAGGATTCATTTTATTCTAAGATTGTATTTTACCTCCTGAATATTCACATTTTTGAATAAATGGTGCGATTACAGGGTGTCCTCGGGGTCTTAAAAAGTATTAAAAGTTGATAAATCAATTTAGTGAAAATTAAGGCTATTAAAAAGTATTAAACGGCATTTTCCAAGGTATTAAATGTTGTAGCTTGTTTTCAATAAGTATATCAATTGTCCAAAGAGGTTGTATTCTACAGTGTGCCTGAATGTAATCATGGCGTAGGTGTGTAGTGTGATTCTGTGTAGTTTATTTATGGCATCCCGTTGGATTTGACGTCATCTGAACAGGACATCGCGCGCTCACTGCTTGATAGCGCGCGAAGGTCCGTTTACGCCGGTTGTTAAACAACATCGTTATGGGGAAATGCAAGTCTGCGTCCAAATGGTTGGAAGATAAGGAGGAAGGACAATCAATACTGTCTATAGTCAATGTGAGGTAAAGTGTGTCGCCAAGGTAACCGGTTGAACTCAAAGTGGCGATGAGGTCTTAAAATGTATGGAAAGGGTCTTAAGAAAGGTCTTAAAAGGGATTACATTTGACTTCAAGGTATTAACCTTTGACTTTGAATATGGAGACAATAAAATCAATATATGGAACAACTGAGAAAATGGCCTCAGATCTCTTCTTTAAATCAGATCCAATTCACTAATGCTTCAATTTGTCTGCTCTTGGTTGATTGCACTTATTGTAAGTCGTTGAAAGCATCAGCTTAATGAAATGTAATGTTCACATTCACTCTGGCCTTATTTCTTCAGGCAGGATTCGAAAGAGTCAGTCTGGGAAATGAGGCGTCAACACCTGAGATCCGCCAGCAGATGACAGCCCCTCCCATCCTGCCGACCTCCCCTCCGTCCCCCGTCCCCCTTTACACTCCCACATTTCACACCTAAGGAGGCCTGGAGCATTGTCACCGGTACCCAAGGTGAGAGGAGACAGGTGTGTGTGATGCGCTGCCTTCAACTACACAAGTGTTGCCCTCTGACTCAACAACTGTTCCAGGTGGATCAGCAGAAATGACTCCCTAAGTCTTTCTGCTCAGTGGCTAAATTAAATCCGGCTTTACATGATATGCAGAGCTCAAAAACATCCTGGCCTTAGAGGGTTTCATTTGTGATCATGTGATTATCGCTCGGTAAGTGTTGAGCCGAAAATAAAACGTCATCTGTTTACATATAAGATGCATTTAGTATCCCACTAGATCCGTGCTACTGACTGACAGCATCACTGCAAATGTTGTGACTAATGATGCAAGCAACAATTATGTTTCTATTAAGAGGCATATTCTCCAGAGCCAACACGATCTGCTTCATTTCAACATGTCGTTTTTTGTAAGTGTTGTCGAAGGGAAGATTAATGAGACATGTAACAGATCACTGACAGCTCTGTTACAACGCCACAGGCAGCTAAATGCTAATTTTGAAAAACTCTTAAAGGAAACTTCTCTATTTTAAAACAATAGTGGTCAAAAACATAGATGCACCGGTGCAGAAACAAGTAAATGATACATAACTGACCCCTGTCGTGTTTTAGGGTTTCTGGCCAAGCTGGAACTGAACCTGGATCACTGAAATGGTTGTTTTGTTTCTATCAAAGTAGCTTTAGTTTGCACCATAGGTCTCTCTACTTCTTCCCTATTCTTTGACAGGAAAGCTCATCTCATTAAGAGTAGGTGGAAGGGACCAACCCGGTAACAGCACCTCTTTGATTTAACACTCTATGAGGAGGAGACACGGCCAAAAAAGAAAAATTCACAGCAGACCTTTTTCTCGATGATTGTCATTTTGTGCAACTATTCTGAAAACATCAGGATAGTTCTACAATGTAATCTTAGAGAGTGCTGCGGGAAGGAGAACTTTAAACCTGGAAACAAGTTAGCATTTCCTGCACTTTTGGTTATCTCGCCTTGAAGTCATTGCGGTTTTTTTAATAGATTTTTGGATGCCTAAAAAAAAGGTCTGTGGTTGACAAAAGCTTAAGAGATTTGAAGGTTTTGTTTTACGAGAGAAAGACATCTGCGTCTATATACGCCGGGATCCGGAGTCATGGATGATCCTGCGGTCCTGTGTCCTGGATCGCGAGCCCTGGATCTTGAGTCGTGGCTGTGGTCCTGGATCATAAGTCCTGGATGGATATCCTCGTGGATTCATCTTCCTATTATACACACATGCATTTCCAAACATTTGGACTACCTATGTTGCAAATGTATTATCTCTTCGATTTACACACGGCATCTATTGCACGTCTGTCCGTCCTGGGAGAGGGATCCCTCCTCTGTTGCTCTCCCTGAGGTTTCTCCCATTTTCCCCTTTAAACTGTGGGTTTTCTCCGGAAGTTTTTCCTTGTACGATGTGATGGTCTAAGGACAGAGGGTGTCGTATTGTCATACTGATATTCTGTACAAACGGTGAAGTCCACCGAGACAAATGTAACATTTGTGATATTGGGCTATATAAATAAACATTGATTGATTGATCTGTAAATACCCTACTTGTGAAATGTGAGGCTCGTACATGTCTAGAAAAGGCGCTTGCTAACAAGTGGTTATATGAGATTACTGCATGTCATCACGCCAAACACGAAAACTCATCTACGTAGTGGAGTCATGCAAACAAGGTTTAAAGGTCCCCTATTATACTGTTTTTCATCAACATATTATAGGTCTCAGATATATACAAACATGTCTCTGAAGTGTGTGGCTCCAAACACCAAACAGATCATTGCAGCATTACCCATAATCCCCTCTGTTTCAACCTTGTTTCGAAAGTGCTAATTCTCTGTCTGTTACTTTAGATGAAAATAAGGAGCCCCTCCCCACGCCCGTCTGAGAGATATTTGGTTAAAAAGAACACAATGGTGCTCTAGGAGGAGATTCAGGTGATAAGGTGGGGGGGGGGGGTTTACCTTGGTTGGTGATTGGCTAATGGTTACACAAGCCAAAACATCGTTATGACATAATTGAGTGGCCAAAATCTGATCAGCTCATTTTCAGACAGGTTTTTATATAAAAGGAGAAAAAGTGAGAGAATCTTTTTTCCTGAAACTTTCATAGTCTCTTTACACAGAGGAATGTTACATGTTGATGTAGAAGAGACATGAAGAAGAGGGGACACATGTTGATGTAGAAGAGACATGAAGAAGAGGGGACACATGTTGATGTAGAAGAGACATGAAGAAGAGGGGACACATGTTGATGTAGAAGAGACATGGAGAAGAGGGGACACATGTTGATGTAGAAGAGACATGAAGAAGAGGGGACACATGTTGATGTAGAAGAGACATGAAGAAGAGGGGACACATGTTGATGTAGAAGAGACATGAAGAAGAGGGGACACATGTTGATGTAGAAGAGACATGAAGAAGAGGGGACACATGTTGATGTAGAAGAGACATGAAGAAGAGGGACACATGTTGATGTAGAAGAGACATGGAGAAGAGGGGACACATGTTGATGTAGAAGAGACATGAAGAAGAGGGGACACATGTTGATGTAGAAGAGACATGAAGAAGAGGGGACACATGTTGATGTAGAAGAGACATGGAGAAGAGGGGACACATGTTGATGTAGAAGAGACATGGAGAAGAGGGGACACATGTTGATGTAGAAGAGACATGAAGAAGAGGGGACATGTTGATGTAGAAGAGACATGGAGAAGAGGAATTTGCACAATAGGTGACCTTTAACTCATTTTTGTTGCATGAAAATGGTGGTTAGTTTCAGCAAAATTAATTTCCGAAGCAGATTTCTCAAGTACTGCATCAGGTTAAAGGTCATGCATTGCTGTGTAGCTGCTATAGCTGCTTGGTTCATCCCAAACTGCTACAGACTTCCTATTTTCTCCTAATATCCAAAGCACAAAATGGGGCCATTTGCAATCCTCACCTTAGCTTCTGAAGTGGATTCCAGATAACACACACGGTTTCCCAGTCCCTCGGCAGCCAGGCAAAACTTGCGATGCTCCTTCTGGATGGTGGCCACACACTGGAGCACCACCTCATCATCCTGCCAAAGGAAAGAGGCGTTAGAGACAAACATGTTGTGACAGTGACCTAAACAAGATGGGGCAAAAATAGAAACATATCTAGATTGGCTCAGTTTTGTTGCCTCTCATGCAAGCCTCACTTTAAGTTTTCAAATTGACACGTAGATATACATTTTATCTTATGGAGGTCAGTGCGGCTGTGGCTCAGTGGGTAGAGTGCTGGACTTGGAATCAGGGGGTAGCAAGTTTGAGTCCCACTGCAGTCAGCATGTCGTTGTGTCCCTGGGCAAGACACTTCACCCCAAATTGCTCCTGGATTGCTCACAATACAGAATGTATGTAAGTCGCTTTGGATAAAAGCGTCTAACAAATGACATGTAATGCTGCACGTGAGGCTTTCTGATTAAAAGAGGCATTCAAAAAACAACTTGTGGTATAGAATGGAGGCTGATCCATTTCAACAAAAAAAGTCTAGCGTTGAAACCTATGGTTGAAACACATTTCTTTTAATCTTATATAATAGAAAAAAGGCATTTATCCATAATAATTTCTCATGTTTTGGTTAAGAAAATCTGTGCATTGTCAATAGGGTAGAATGAAGTATCTTGTTGTCAACTTTGAAGAGAAAACCAATTCAGCAGTAGAAAAGAAAAGAACAAACCCTATATAAATCAGCAGCAGAGCAGCATTGAGGAATATCATTTCTAAACCTGTTACTCAGTCTTTGTTATCTCCGTGGGAGAGAGGAAACCCTCAATTCAAATCATCCAATAAACCAACATCTGTATCTGTCAGGGTCGAGAGGGTCGGCTCTATGTGGCAACACAGATATCGATGTGTGTGTGATTGTGTGTGTGTGTGTGTGTGTGTGTGTGTGTGTGTGTGTGTGTGTGTGTGTGTGTGTGTGTGTGTGTGTGTGTGTGTGTGTGTGTGTGTGTGTGTGTGTGTGTGTGTGTGTGTGTGTGTGTCTCCCCTGCCAGCTACCGTCCCACACTAATCTGAGCTGATGGTTGCCATGGTTCTGGCTCCCACCGCCTTCACAGCAGTATTAATTCAATAGATTTAGATACAGGCTGCAGAGAAACCACGGACACAGGAGGGAGATAACAGAGCCTGACAGCATTTCAAAAACAATGGCACTCTGGAACCAAAACTAGAAGATGTAATGTGATACTGATAGCAAGTAAAAGTCACCCTGCATGGTCAGAATATTGTGTGAAGAAAAGCATAATATGAAGGATTTTTTTCTGGGGTGTGTTTAATACTGCAGACGTTTTTTTAAACTTCATTTGAAAGCATACAGTCTCCTGTTACGAACGATAAATGAGACAATTTGTAATTTCACACTGCTGTAGAGATGGAAACAACATTTTCAGATTTTCCGGCTCTTCCGGCATATGTAAAAGTTCAAACAGACATTGTAAGAAGCCTAAACATAATCTCTTATTGGTTTGTATTTGTATTTAGTGTGAACATTACAATCATGCATTGGCGAAGCATCATTAATTAGATCTAATAGATAAGATCAGACAGTCTTCTTCATGAACAGTAAAACACATTCATTTCACAAACAGAGCAGTAAGAAGACATTGTTTTAAATGTATTTATTTTCTTATAACATGTATTTCCCTTAGTAAAACAAAAGAACAATAATATATTGTACAAATTAAGTAATTTCTACTTCAGAGATGTGATCGATATTATTCCATAGAAACACTTAGCTCTGTAAAAAGCTACATTATGTTGAAAGGGGAATATGGGGATTTATACAGCAGCTAATTAGTGCAGAAGCTCATTAAAGCATATCCACAAAAAGGCAGTATTGACAACCTCACAAAATAAAATCTGTCTTCAAGCACTTTCAATACTGACGCACAGTGGAGGTAAATGTCACAGGGAAGTGAAAGAGAGCCGATTTGGCACCAAAGTCCCCGACCAGCAGCGTTTTAAATACCCAGAATCCAACTCTGGGCTTCAGGGAGGTAATTACAGAAAGCAGAAAGCATCAATGTTGGCTCAGAGAAACCGCTGCAGCTCTCCTGGTAGAGTTGTGACGGAGGAAACACAGCTTGTTGTCTCAGTCTGACAGACGGAGACACTCAATATCTCCACGGGATGACCGAAGACTTGTCACCTCTTTAAAATCGAGTAAATGCACCTCTTTCTTTTCAGATGTTTGGAATTGTGGTGGCGTTAGGAAACCAGCGGGGCCTGGCACTGTTAGTGTCGTGCTTCATCTACGAGTGTGTGTCTTTTTAAAAGGCTTATGAATGTGCCAACAGGCTGGGTCAGATTACTTTAAAACGTAGTCAGTCGGTAATCAAGTACATAGAAATTACATTCAATCAGAAAAGACGTATTTAAATATTTTTGGATTTCTTTAATATCCAAGAAAAATAGTGCACTTTTATAGAAAGAAGTGGAGGAAGTTACACAAATACATTTTTCTTGAACATGTCAAAAACAAATGGATTGTACATATTTAGCTATTCGGCTTCTAGATTGTGTCAATAAATAGTCAAAAACTGTACCTATATGTACCCTATCTGTATCTACCATAATTAATCAAATAAAAAGGCTATAAATATCAAATCATCTTAATATCTCAACTTGTTTTGTCACCATGAACACAACTGGCTTACAGAGTTGCAAATCACTCTGATATACAGTAAGAGATATCGGGCATTTATAATTAGTCAAATCAAACGATCAGGATTTCATAAAAAACATGTTTTAGAATTTAATAATTACGAAATTGTTATACTAATGTAATGACAGTGTTTACTGTCAGAAAAATCTTCAGCAGCAATTAGATCTAGCTTGTAAAGCCAGGCAGCAACATATGTTCATCAATACTTGAGTTGTATAGAAATAAGCAACATTTAAATGGCTGAGACACAATTATAATTTCACTTTGATAGTGCAGCTCCAGAAGGGTTGCACTGGGATTTAAAAAGCTTCACAGACAGGATGCCATCCAGTCATCCGAGTAGAAAGGATGATAATGCCAACATCGCTCTAAATAAAAACAACCACCAGAGACATGGGGAGGGTTTAATACCAAGAAACCTACAGAGTGGCGTTCTCTCATAAAAATCCAACCGCTATGATTGAATCTCAACAACTAATGAAGTAGCCATGTGTTTTCATAGCCAGGACACTTTCTTAAGACGCTTTCTGTCCCTCTCTACACCCCTGACTTGATCTTTAGCCAGAGAATCCGAGGCAAAGTGATCCACGCGGCAGCAGTGTGACCATCTGCTGAACAGCTAAAGAGCAGCATCAGTCCTATGTATAGGGCCCTGGGTGGCTGCTTCCCCCAGCTTCCAAGGGGAGAGTGGGAATTTGACCCTGCCCTCTCCCAACCCGACCTCACTAACCCTCGATATCCCTCTGGATCCTGAGGGTCCGACACCTCTCAATCAAACAAAAGAGTCTGGTTTAAGCTAAAAGATTGAATGTCCACTTGCACCATCGCTTTGGGGATCTCCACCTGCCCTTTAACCTTTCCCCACCCCTCTCTTGCCTTCTTGTTTTCTTCCTCTACGTTCAATAAGCAGCCGGTGTCCCCTTACAGACAGCGACAGGTGTGTGTGTGTGTGTGTGTGTGTGTGTGTGTGTGTGTGTGTGTGTGTGTGTGTGTGTGTGTGTGTGTGTGTGTGTGTGTGTGTGTGTGTGTGTCCACCAGCGGAAACCCGAGAGCTACAGATGCTCTGGCGTGCCAAATAAACTCACAACTCACCCGCTGCTCCCACCAATGTGAACTTGAGAAAAGGTGAATCTGTTCAATCCCTCAGCGCTGCTATTTTCACACGCATGCTTTGCACATGCTCAGTGAAAAATCAACAGGCAGACCTTTTCAGAAGGGGAAAATGGGGGGCAGTGGGTTGAAAACTGAAGGGGTTTAAGAAAATACCAAGGTGTTTGGCCTCCTTGTTCACACTGCAGCGCTGTGCAGTCTGTCTGAGTTGGTCTGACTGCACTGGAGTCGTGTTTCTCATAAATGTCAGGCAGGGTGCTAAGTGCAACTTTAGCAACGTGTTTTTACTAAAGCTTAGCTCACAACATGGAGATCAAAGTAGATACAGTGTAGATGTGTGAGAACTACACCCTGAAAGGCCGTATAAAAGGCTGATGTTGGTGCCTGCATCAGAGCTTGAATGATAAAAGTGAGATTTAAAATGTTAAATATGAAAAACAAGAATGTATACAGAGCGTCTGTATACCAACCCATATCTCTGCACTAATGAACACCTGACGATAAATAATGAAGCTGCTGTTCCAATCCAAACCCTGAGGTATGTTACATTTTGAAACCTTGAAGAGCAGAAAAAACAAGAGTGAAAAATGATTAAAAGGCAGTGAAATTTCAGTGACGGTGGGGGAAAAAAAATAGGGCTTGAAGCCACAACAAAAAACTGAGAGAGAAAGAGAGACAGAGACAGACTGGAAAATTGGCTTTTTAGCAATTCGACATTTTAGCTCTGCTGTCGTGTTCTCTACCGTTAAAGATCCACAGTTAGTCACAGCAGTCAGTCACACTGGTTGCACCTCCAGCAACCTCCTACCTCTCAAACACACACCGGGTGACAACAAATCTCTATTTACAGGCTGGGTAATTTGGCAATATTGTCTGTCTCCATAATTGAGTTTCGCTCGATAGCTCACAAGAAAGAACAAAGGGTACAAGATTGATAACATGCAGGTCTCCCAAGCCGTTTCACTGCAAGATTCATTTAGCTTTTCCGTAATCCCAAATCCATATTCATTTTGATGATAGCCTTTCCTATCTTCGAATGGAAGACAGTGGACATTGAGTCTATTTGTTCCAGTTAGTCTTTTGGAAAATAGAAGGGTTCAGTATATGAATAAATGCCATGGAGACATGTGACCTTTAGAGGTGTTTTTCTAGATTAAAGGCAACGATTATTTAGATGGAGTGAAGTCTACTAAAAAGGCATGACAAGTAAAAGATCAATATTCAATGATCAGGATCAGTATTTGTAGACGTCGAAACCTT